AATGAGTGGTCCACTGCAATTATGCATTTGTTTATTTATGTCAAAAATACTTTCAGTCTTCTGTAGGATGCATTTCCACTGGCATGCCTTGTATCAAAAACTCAGTTGTCATTTGTTATGGTTTTGTTTGTGTTTGAAATCCAAAACTGAAAGGCATATAAATCAGACACAAGCAAAACAAAATTTCATGGCATAGTTTAGAATTTGAGTATGATTTTATGCTATTGATATTCAATTTCAAAATTTTATAGTCATTTGCAAAGAAGAGTACAGTTTATGTATGGAGTCCTAGTGATTAAGGGAGAACAATACTGGGCAATATCTGGGTGCAATACATATCTATCTGTCTATCTATCTATCTATTTATACACATATACGATTAGTTCATAAATTATCTTGTGTTTCATTTGTGTAACATAAAGTTGAGTCAAAGTTATATTGAACTTACAAAGAAGTTATCTGAAGATGAATGCTTAAAGAATAGGAATTGCTATGAATTTTGAGCCCTTGCTAATTCATTCTGAGCTAATGAATTCTATCAAGATTAAAATAGCATTCAGCTCCTCTATAGTGATCAAGAATAACTGTAAGAGATTAAAGCTGATGACCAGAAAAGGGAGCAATCAAGGTGCCTCTCTAAACTTTGCCTGTAGGTAAATTGCCTCATCTTAAACTGACAGCAGCAGCTAAAGCAATTATTTTTCTATAATATTTTCTCTTTAGAAGGTAACTGCAAATGATACTTGTAGAATATCAACAATTTCCCAAAATGAAGAGAAATGTTTTATTATCAATAAAGCACTGTTACTGTGAAAGTAATTGAATATCAAGTCAATAACCAAAAAAAGAATGTATGATGCCTTATTATTAATGTAATGGGAGAAATAAAATTATTTTGACTTGTTCAAGATGAGTTAAATCTGAGCGTTCAGAGGATCATTTTCCACTAACCTTCAATGGGAATGCTTCTAACTCACAAATCTCTTGCCATATATGGCAGAAAATGAAAGGCAGGCTCCCCTCCTGCCCTTACTCCAAGGTCTACATTGATGACTTTCAGTATGAGCCATTTACAAGTTCAAAGGCTTTCCATTTTCCACTGCATTTCTCAAGTTTTCAGGATTACAACCTGAATTTCAAGAACTGGACAGTATTCCATGCCATTAGGTAGAGACAGTCCTCAAAGAAGGCTTCAAAGTACTTAGAGTATTATGTGGGTTGCATAGTTGGCCTGTAGGCTCTGACTTTTCAGGAAGGCCACGAAGGTTCTTGTCCCAGCATAACCCTTAGCAGGAATGACAGCAGCGCTTGCTCAGAGTCTGGGGCCTAGGAAGACAACAGAAACTGACCCTGTTGCTGCGCCTCCAGCCCATGGCACTGTGACCTGTGGCCGTGACATCACCATCAGGCACTTTTCAGCATCACCCCACCCCCACCCCCAGTTCTGCTTCACATAGGCTGTAATAATCTTTATCTGTTTTTTCTCATCTGTTCTTTTCAACTAACTGCTCATGACAAATATATATATATATATTTATATACATACTATGCATAAATTAAAATATATGTGTGGCATGTATGACATATATATTTATATATGTATAAGTATGTACAATATTATAATATATACATTATTATACATATGTATATATACATATATTACAATTATAATATATACACATACATATATATATATATATATATATATATTACAATCTTATACTACCATAGTTGACATTACAGAAATACAAGTTGAGTAGCACTGCTTAGGACAAAAAAAATGTTACATATTTCAGTCATATCAGAACAATATTGGAATATTTGTATATACATGGATTATCTTCAAAACTGGAGCTAAGCCTAAACACAAAATTATTTGTTTCATGTACATGGCTTGAAAGCAATTTTATACAAGTTTTTAGTGTTTCTGCATGTTGACTGTGTTCTGTCCTGTGACAGAACTCAAAAAGTTTCACACTCAGACATGAAATATTCTGAACTTCACTTGTCTAGATTAGAGATACTGAGCCTATGCCAAAGGTCATCTTTCAGAATCCTAGGCTGTTAGAAAGAAATGTACTCATTACTGTACTTATGCAACCTCTCCATACATCACCTTTACAATAAAAAAAGAACTTTGGAGACATTTTGACATATAAAAATTAAGCAGTGATACCATAGCTAAGATACCCAGATACCCCTCAGAAGATGAATGGATCAAGATAATATGGTATATATACACAATGGAATTCTATGCCTCCATCAAAAAGAATGACATTGCCCCATTTGTTAGGAAATGGAAAGACTTGGAAAAAATTAAGTGAAGTAAGCCAGGCCCAAAGAAACATAGGTCCCATGGTTTCCCTTATTTGCAATAACTAGTATATGTCTGAGACAAGCAGAAAAGGGCCAGATAAGATGATGTTAAGTGAAATGAACCCCAAGGTAAGGATACAAGTGGTTCTTTTCTTTCTTGCTATTGTTTCTAATGTACTTATAAGGTACCATGATATTTTTTTGTTGCTTTGTATGTCCCTCCCCCACAGTATAACCCCTGTTTTCACTGTATTTGATGTTGGTATAATTTGTGGAGGGGAAGGGAAAAAACAAATTGTTTAAATAGGGATACAGTGCAATAATGAGATGTACAAGATACTATGTCGAAAAACAAACTTTACAATTTAGGCATGGGAGGAGTATAGTTGAGGAGGTGGGAGGGAAGGGATTGTAGGGGAAAAACAAAGGAGGAAGCAACAATGCTTGATAAGAAATGTACTCATTACCTTGCTCATGTAACTGTAACCCCTCTGTACAGTATTTTTACAATAAAAACTTATTTAAAAAATTAAGCAGTGGCTACTTTGGTCTGCTTCCTGTGGTGTTAGTGTGTGTGTGTGTGTGTGTGTGTGTGTGTGTGTGTGTGTGAAAATACCATACAGAGGGGTTACAATTACATGGACAAGATAATGAGTACATTTCTTATCAAGCATTGTTGCCTCCCCCTTTCTTTCCCCTTCCTATCCCTTCCCATCCCCCGCCCCTCCCCCCTCCCCCCCATTCCTATTCCTCCTGCGCCCCTCCCCCACCATCAATGTGGTGTTATTTTTTGGAGACAGCTAAGAAGGAAAGAACTGGCTTCCTTCAGATGGGAAGAGTGGTCAGCAGTTCAGACATGCTGACCAGGTAAACGTCAGGTAGTGAGATAGGGTGAAAGATACAGCTCAAAGTACAAGGTACCCAGGATCAAGTCCTTCCCACCACTAACAGCTCTGAGCTTCCTTAGGAAAATTATTTACCTCTCTCTGACTCACTTTTTTTTGGATTGCTGTGACAAATTACCACAAATGTGATGTATTCTGTCATAGTTCTAGGAGTCTGAAATGAGTTTCACTGAGTAGCATTCGGAGAGCTGAGTTGTCTCTCAAACTGAAGAGAATCATTCCTTGCTGCTTCTGCTTCCTATGGCCAATAACATTTCTTAGCTGGTGACTGCATTACCCAAATCTCCGCCTCTGCAGTCACATTGCCTTTCCCTCTTTTTCTTTGCCTCTAATCAGAATGCATGTAATCACAGTCAGGACCTACACAGGTAATTCAGGATAATCTCCCCATCTCATGATCTTAACTGGATCACATCAGCCAAACCCTATATTGTAATCTGAGGTAAAATCACTGATACCAGGGAACAGGATATAAAAATCTATTAGGTGAGCAATTATTCATTATAGAGAAGTTAAATTGATATTATGTACATGAACATAAAAGAATATACAGTTGTTTTCCATATTTTTATGTTTCCTATCCATAAATTCAACCAATCCATGATTGAAAATAATAAAATAGGAAAACAATTCTATCTGTACTGAACATGTACAGATTTTTTTCTTCTCATTCTTTTTTTTCTGTCAGTCCTGGAGCTTAAACTCAGGACCTGCACTGTCCTTGAATACTATTTGCTCAAGGCTAGTTAGTGGTCTACCACTTTGAGCCATAGCTTCACTACCCATTTTTGAGTGGTTAATTGGAGTCTCACAGGGACTTTTCTTCCGTGGTTGGCTTCAAACCGCAATACACAGATTTCAGCCTCCTGAGTAGCTAGGATTATATAAGCATGAGCGACCAGTGCCTGTCTTCATTATTTCTTAAACAATGCAACAGAACAATTATGTATATGATGTTTTCCCTATATCCTTTATTAGGCATGTTAAGTAGTCTGGAGATGATTTTGTGTATGGAACTTGTACATACAGACTCTTTACTATCTCAGTAGTTCCTAGACCCAAGACCCCATGAAACCCAGAAACAAGTGTAATCATGTAATTCACTTATAGCAATGCCTAGTAGGCAATAAAGCATTCAATTAGTCAAAGATGGTTGTAATATCAACAACAACAAGAATGAAGCAAAAAGGTTTCAAAATACATGTGTGTGTGTGTGTGTGTTTATGTGTGCACATGCATGGTGTACGAGTAAGTACTCAGGGCTTCTTGCTCTCACTCACCTTATTTGCTTACACAGCTTGTGCACTACCACTTAAGCCAGGCCTTTAGTCAGGCATTTCATTAGTTAAAGGAGATGGAGACTCACAGGCTAGCTTTTAAACCTAGTCCTTTCTTCTCAACCTCTTTAATCTCAGTTTTAGCCAGGATACACCACGGGCACCCAGCTGGGAAATAAATGAACATATGTGGAAGGTCTCACATCAGAATTCTTGATGTGGGTTAATTTTACCACATTAATATCATTCACAGAATATATCACTACATTGCATAAGTTTGACCTGACAGTGTATACCATGGTGTATACACACATACACAACACACACACACACACACACACACACACACACACACACACCCCATGTTTAGCTTTGACTTTTGTTTCATTTCAGATGAAAACCATGTCAGCAGTTTCATCTATCCTGAATTCTTCCCAAGTTTAAAGCCAACGGTGATGTGATATAATTCTGTCCTTTGTTCTCTTGTCTCTTGCCCGCTTAGGATACAGACCTGATGACCTTCAACATCTCTGTGCACCGATCATGGTGGAGGGAACACGGGCCTGGTTGTGTCCGGAGAGTGCTGCCTCCATCAGCACATGGCATGATGGATGACTACACATATGTCTCTGTCACAGGCTGCTCCCTCAGCTTCCAATACATGGAGGTCATCCACAGTGCTGTCCAAATACTGCTCTCTGTAAGTCTCACTTTGGTGTCATTATCTGATCGGGACTTTTTTCTTCCTGGTATCTTGTATCTACGTACCTGATAAGTAGTGCTATGAATAAGCACAAGAAAGCATTACTGTGGTTATGGCTGTGATTGTGGTGTCAATAGTCATATATACTGGCAGCTTACATCTTTTTCTTCTTGGTAATCAATGATATGCTATAGTTGCTAATTTAGATACAAGCCACACAACTCAATGAACTAATATTACCATTTCCCATATTATCCACTAGCTACCTCAGAAATGGCTACTAATGCATATTCTTCTAATGCATATTTCTTCCAGAGAAAGAACAATGGAAACATCTCCCTCCCCCTGCCATTTGTTCAATCTAAGAAACCTCATTTCAAGTAAAGACTACTTACCAAATAATAATAATAATAACCCAAATTCCCCTCAGTAGATTAATGGATCAAGAAAATGTGATATATATATATATATATATTAATTCTATGCCTCCATCAGAAAGAATGGCACCGCCCATTTGTTAGGAAATGGAAAGAGTTGGAAAAAAATTATATTAAGGCACAAAGAAACATAGGTCCCATGGTTTCCCATATCTGCAATAACTAGTATATGTCTAAGACAAGCAGAAGAGGTCAGAAGCTATGTACATATGACCATATAACCTGATGCTAAGCAAAATGAACCCTAGGATAGGGACACAGAGATCTTATCCTTCTTGCTGTTCTTGTTATAATGTACTGTGTGATTTTTTTTGTTTCTTTATATGTTCTTCTCCCATGGTACAACCCTTGTTGTCACTGTCGTTGATTCCAGTGTCCTGCATCTTACATATACATTTTTCTAATTTGGGGAGAGGAAGGGAAATAATAAAAATGCTGAAATAAGGATACAGGATGACCCATTGTAACAATGAGATGTACAAGACAGTATGTTGAAAACAAACTTTACAACTTTGTGGGAGGGGGGGAGTCGGGGAGGGGGGGAGGAAAGGAAGGGTAGAGGAAAAACAAAGGAGGGGGTAACAATGGCTCGATAGGAAATGGACTTATCTTGCTCATGTAACTATAACCCCTCTGTACAATATCTTCACAGTAAAGAATATATATGTATATATATATATTAAAAATAAAAAATAAACCCTCCAGAGATGCTTAGCATTGCTGTCTGGATACAGTTCCACATAGAATAACAAGAAACAGAATTTTCTTAATTAGATCACAGAAAGTGTATTGGCCTGGTTCTATGAAATTTTTTTCTATCAGACTGACTTATCCACAGTTTGGCCACTTGTGCTGGATGATTAGTTTAAAGTAATTTTATATTCAAGAATGATGTGTGTTTGAGACACACCAAAGACTTGTCATTGTTTTGATCAAAATAGAATAGAGCTATTATCATCCACACTTTCACATATCTGGCTAGATTTAAACTAAGAGATGAAATCTCAATAATGAACAAGAGATATAAAAGGGGTATGTGAGTGAAGAATGTACTTTAGAGTTGTTTTTGGAAGAACTTTAGAAACCCTTGCTATTATTTACAATATCCATTATCTACTATTATGAAATAAATGACTCCAAACTGTAGTTATCTAAAACAGTATCTGTTCTTTGCGTAGAGTTCTGTGGGCTAGGAATATGGGCAGTTAGCTTCATATAAAAGATTCTGATTCAGGAGGCAGGGGGCGGGGCATGGGAAGGGGAAACAAAGGAGGAGGCAACAGTGCTTGAAAAGAAATGTACTCCTTATCTTGCCCATGTAATTGTAACCCCTCTGTACAGTATTTTCACAATAAAAAAAAGATTCTGATTCAGATCAGGTGAACCATCTAACCAGAGTTCTAAACAGATACCTACCTGATCTAAGCTATCCAAGTGGCCTCACTCATCTGTCCATGCTGGCTGTTGACTCTCATTTGCCTCAACATAGTTTCTCATTCTGCAAAAGCTCTCCTACAGTGAGGCAGCCAGGTTCTATATAAACCTCCACTAAGCAAGCTTTCATTAAGCTTCTACTCAAGGAATGTTTGCTGTTGTCCCATTGGCTACAAGGAGCCATATGGACAGACCCAGAATCAATAAAGAAGGATGTTATAGAGAGACAAGAAGTCACGGTTCATTTCAGGTGACCAATGTAGTGTTCTTGTTTCAAAAAGGCAAACTTAACATTGAATTCAAGGAAAGAGATTATAGCTCAATGCCAATAATTTCCTCTCAGACATATAACAGGGTGTCTGAACAGGATATTATAGGAGTCTATAATAACATTTCCATGTACATTTCCATGTACTACCATTTTTCTATATATGATTGTCTTCTCTTATTGCCTAGACTTTCTATAATTTAGCAGCTACATATGAAATGTAAAACACATGTTTTTAAATCCCTACTTTTAAAAAATGTGGAAGCTAATTTTTTTATTTTTTGTTTTTTATTGTGAACATACTGTACAGAGGGGCTACAATTACATGGGCAAGATAATGAGTACATTTCTTATCAAGCATTGTAGCCTCCTTTGTTTCCCCTTCCCATCCCTTCCCAGCCTCCCACCACCACCCACCCCATCCTCCCCCCCCACCAAAGTTGTAAAGTTCATTTTCGACATGACAACTTGTACTTCTCATTGTTGCAATGGGTCCACCTATATCCTTAAATGACTTGTTTTTCCCCTTCTCCTCCACAAATTACACCGACATCAAATATAGTGAAAGCAGGGGTTATACTGTGGGGCAGGGACATACAAAGCAACAAAGAGATAATCTTATAAATGCATTAGAAACAAATGCATGAAAGAAAAAAACATTAAAATACATATCTAAGGGTTCATTTCCCTAACGTCAACTTATCTGACCTTTTCTGCTTGGCTCAGACATATACGAGTTATTGCAAATAAGGGAAACCATGGGACCTATGTTTCTTTGGGCCTGGCTTACTTCACTTAATATAATTTTTCCAAGGCTTTCCATTTCCTAACAAATGGGGCAATGTCATTCTTTCTGATGGAGGCATAGAATTCCATTGTGTATATATACCACATTTTCTTGATCCATTCATCTACTGAGGGGCATGTGGGTTGGTTCCATATCTTAGCTATCGTAAATAATGCTGCAATAAACATAGTTGTGCTGGTAGCTTTAGTGTGGTCTCGTTTGTGACCATTTGGGTAAATGCCCAAAAGTGGGATTGCTGGGTCATAGGGGAGCTCTATGGAAGTCTTTTGAGGAACCTCCATACTGCTTTCCAAAGTGGTTGAACAAGTTTACACTCCCACCAACAATGAAGTAGGTTCCCTTCTGTCCACATCCCTTCCAGCATCTGTTGTTATTAGAGCTTTTGATTTTTGCCATTCTAACTGGGGTGAGGTGGTATCTCAATGTTGTTTTGATTTGCATTTCTTTTATGGCTAGGGTTTGAGCATTTCTTCATGTGTCTATTGGCCATCTGGAAGCTAATTTTTTAAAAAAAAATATTTCAGACTACTTAAGGTATAAAGAATTTTCACCATGTACTAAATGCCAAAGGTTTTTGTTAATTTTTGGTATTAAAAGGTTTGTTCAGAGTTGTACATATGTAGAGAAATCTTTTTACATTGCTAAGCCTCTTTGTAGAGTCATAATGGTATGGTGTTCAATACTTTACAGTGTAGAAAACTGGCACAGGATCAGAAAGCCAAATTTATAGCAATGTGAAGGCATCTGATAAGGAGCTGGACTGTCTCATAAAAGCATAACCTAAAGGGAAATCTAAATAAGCTGTATACTTTCCCACCAAAAAGTCCTTGTCACTTAAATATGAATTTCTCCATATTCATAGCTGCCAGCATGCATATATAGTTCTAACTCTACTATTCAGCCTTCAGGAATTAAAAGGATTAGGCACTGCTCTCTGAGGTTTCTTGTGTACACATCTGCCAGACAAAAATTTTAATATTTTATCTTTTTACATTAGAATACAATACATTGTAATTTTTGTTTCACAACTATGAAATTGCATTAGTCCACCCAAACCCTCAGAAGATATATCCTAAGACCCGGCCCCCAGTGGATACTCAAACTACAGATATTTCTAAATCTTACAATACACGATGGTTTCTTTTTCTATACATTTATACCAATGAAAAAGTTCAATTTATAACATAAGCACAGGATGATACTAACAATAATACCACATAGATCAGAATAACTTCAGCATGTCAGAATTTTTCTTTCCTTACATCAAGAATGTTCTCCTTTTAAATTTAGTGTTTTTTTTTTGTTTTTGTTGTGGGGTTTCTTTTGAGCCATCACTAGGATGACAGGCAGTTGTTACCAGGTCCAGCTTACCTTTTGTGGAGACAGAGTATCCCAAACTTTTCATCTCCATCTGGTGTGGAACCATGATCTTCCCTTGTTAACCTTCTAAGAACCTCAGATTACACATGGGAGTTACCAGAGCCTGGCTTAGAGCTTCTTTAAGTGCATTATAACATATGAAGTCACTTACTGCTCAAAATAACCCACAAGGTACCTATTATTATAAGCATTTTACAGACAGGAAAATGGAGACTAACACAGAGATTAAGCAATTTTCTTGAGGCCACAAATTTGTAAGTGTGTGAAGCTGGACCTCAAATCTACACAGACAGACTCAAGAATTGGTTCTCTTCCCCCATCACGACACAGCCTCTCAGCATGGAAAGGAGCAGCTCTTGCTTCCTTGAAGCCCATTTTCAAGTTCAAGAAATCCCTCAAATCTGGGAGGCTGAGAATCTTGTTTTGTTCACAGAATTGACCTGACAGCATTTGAAGATAACAAAAAGTATGCTTATCTGAGTAGGTTTATAAGATATTTATAAATAGAATAATATACAATATCACCTTTCACCCTTGACAACATCTCCCAGTCACCTTTTCCTTGTTTAAAAGTAGAAAGCTTCAATATGTCTAAAATGCTAAATGTATCAGACTTGTTTTCCCTCTGCTGGGCTTTCTAGGTAATTGGATGAGAAAGGAAGTCATAGAC